GGCTCTCCAGGAGGGCGCTTCACCTTGAAGAGCCAGCGGCTATCGATTACGTTCACCCCAGGCGGGGGAACAGCGTCGACGTAGGTGCCGCTGGATCTCCAAGATGCCATCTCCTGCTCCATGGCAGCTATCCACTGGGAGGCCAGGGTCCTGAGGTCGCCTCAGTGTAAGTGCGAGGGGTCGGGATGTCGAAAGCGTCGGGGTCACCCTCAGGGACTAGCAGCATGGAACAGAGATGGGGAGCAGCCTCGGACAGGAAAGCAAGCTCGAACTGGCGGTCCTCCAGGACGTCACTGCCGAGGGCAGGAGCACCCCCGACAGACGGAGGTTAGGCATGGTGAGAGACCAGAGCGGTGGCATAGTCAAGGCGGCGGGTAGAGGCGAAGTCGGTGACCGCAGCAACAAGAGCGTCAAGACACGAGACCGGAACAGAGGGGTCGGTAACGAGAGAGGCGAGGACCCGAGGAACAAGTGGACGAGCGGCACGAAGGTAGTCAGACAGAGGAGGAGGTGCAACGGTAAGAGAGGACGGAGGAGGCGACGGTAGAAGGGGAGGACGAGACGCGTGGGAACGGAGCAACACAGGGTGAGAGCTCGTGATAGGGGAGACAGGACGAGCGTGGGAGGGACAGCGGGACCAGACGTGAGACGGAGGCGTCGGGTCAGGAGACAAAGGAGGGGACACAAAGGGGGAGCGAGGGGGAAGACGAGCCGGGGACGAGTCCGGCGGAGGGAACACAGGGCCGTAGACAAGAAGAGGAGGAGACGGCAGGCGAGGAACGGACGCAGGGTCAGGGGACGGAAGGCCGAGCAGGCGAAGGGCTGACACCGGCGGGGACTGCTGCTGCGGCGGCACAACACCAACACCGGGACCGCAAGCTGCTCCTCGGCTACCTCCGGGACACTCCACTCCGGCACCCCAAGAAGGAACACCCCAAGAGCCCGAAACCCCCCGAGCACCAGTACCACCCTCAGGGCCACCGAGGCAGGCCGCAACAAGAACCCCAGAACTAGCACCCACCCCAACGCGGGAACCCCCAGAGTCGACGAACTGCGGCTGCGACGGCGGCGGCGGCGGCGGTGGCGGGAACGACGGCTGCGACAGCAGGGGCGACGGCGGCTGCAGAGGCTGTGAGGGGGGAGCCACCGGGGGAGGGGCAGATGGCGAGGACTGCGCCGCAGGACCACCAGAGTCAGAGGACTCCTCGACCGGAGTAACCGGGGGACCGCGGTGGGGGAAGCGATGAGACGGCGGGTGGTAGAAGTGCCAGTCGGACGCGTCAAAGGTGACGTCGCGAGAGTGAAAGAAGCGGTGAGACGGCGGGTGGTAGAAGTGCCAGTCGGACGCGTCAAGGGAGAAACCTAGGAAGACGCACGGAAGGGTGCGGGCAGTGAGCTTGTCCGTGCTAGAGGAACGAACGTGAGCAAGGCAGCCCCAGACGTGGAACGCAGACGCGTCACCAGGAGACCCGGTCCAAAGAAGGGTCAGCGAAACCTGCGGCTGCTGGGGGTGCGGCCACAGGTTAAGCTTGTGAGCAGCGTAGCGCACGGCGAACGGCCACAGAAAATGGGGTGCACCAGCATGGATCATGGAGGTGCGAGCCACCTCCATGACCAAACCGATGCGTCGCTTAGCGACCAATGACACCTAAGGCAAACTCGCCACCACGGTCGGAGTGAAGACGCAGGACAGGGAGACCTCGGTGGACACGGGCAGAGACAAGCCAGGGGATGAGAGCGTCAGGCACGTCGGCCTTGCGCTCCAGGGGAAAGACTGTGGTGTAGCGAGGGAAGTCGTCGACAAGCACGAGGAAGTAGCGCTCTCGACGCGGCCCCTGGACGGGGGCGGGGCCCTAGACGTACATGTGCAGGGTCTGCAGTGGCGCGGCGGTAGTGGGAAACGAGGAGGAGTGAGGGGCATGGCGAAGCCGACCCTCGACACAAGGCGTGCAAGGTGGGGCGGGGGAGGAGGGAAATGCGGGGAACGAACCAGGGAGACCAAGGACGAGACCGTGCTGGGACATGTGACGCAGACGCGGGAGCGCAGGGTGACCAAGGCGGTGGTGCCAAAGGAGAGTCGGGTGAGTGAGGGATCGACAGGAGCAGGCAGCAGCAACCTGGGTAGACGCAGCCACCTGAAGGGGCGCCCTAGCCGGGGGGGTCACGATGTCCAGGGTGAACAGGCCGGACACCGGGTCCCGGGGGAACGTGAACAGGGGGGCACCAGTGGCGACCCCGGTACAGACAGCATACCGCTCGTGGCCAGGGAACGTAGTGGTGACGCCAAGGTCCTGGAGGCAGCCGACACCAACTAGGTTCCTGGAGAACGAGGGGATATGCAGACCTGTGAGAGAGCCCGAAGGAACCGCCGGACAGGGAAGGGTGGTGGAACTGCGAGCGACTACAGGACCGCCAGAGGGGTCAGCAAGAGAAACTGCAGCAGGAACAGGAAGCGGCGTCAGCGTAGTAGAGTCGCGGAAGAAACACCGGGAAGCGCCAGAGTCTAAGTTGAAGGAAAGAAAAGCAGTGGCGTCTGGCGACGGGGAGACGGCGGAAGCACCAAGGCTAAACAAGGCAGAAGCTCCTCTACCTGACGCAGCAGGGGAGGCTATGCTAGGCACACCTACACTAGGCGACAAGGAGTAATAAGAGGGGAGCACACTAGAGTCATCAGCATACATCACATGCAGGGCAGCAACAATGGCATCCATGTCCATGTCAAAAATCTGAACTCTACGACTAAGCAAACTGTGCCAGTCCGGGAGGTCGGGCGACGGTCCGAAACGCTGTTGAAACAGGTCGTCCAGGCGACGAAATCAGCGGGCAGTGGCGTGACCGATCTTACCGCAAACGAAGCCGCGGCGAGGACCGGTCTGGAACTGGTACTGACAGTGGACGCCTCCCGAACCGCCACCCGGCACACCACCATGCGCACGACCACCACCAGCGCCACGCCACCCGGGCGGGAGGGCACTCGCCTGCTTGTCTGCGGCGGCTGCTGCGGCTGGTACGGCTGCTGCGGCTGCTGCGGCTGCTGCTGCTGCTGCTCAGCTGGACCTGGCACGGTCCCCTCGTTCACTCCACCACCAAACGACGCGACTCCACCACCACCTCCATTGGCACCCCCACCATCTCCGCCGCGCCTAGCCTTGGGGCGGCGGCCCTTCCCTGGACGGAACTGCGCTGCAGCGGCGGTCTCAGCCACAGTTGCAGAACCATCGGAGAAGGTGCACTGAGCGGGGGCACAACCCTGAAAGATAGGGACCGGCACAGTACCGCTCGCCTGGGCGATAGAGCGGTGGCGGGTCTCAATAACAGTCAGGGTGTCTACAAAGTCGGTGAGGGTGAGGTCACCGGAGTGAATGCTAAGGAAGCGGTCATGAGCAGCAGCAAGGCGGTCAGGGAGGCGGGTGGCAAACAGGTAGAGGGTAGAGGTAAGGGGCGGCCGGTGGGCTCTAAGCTGTGCGTCAGTGCAGGCAGCGCGCCAGGTCTCATCTATCGTGCGCAGGTGGGCAGCCAGGTCAGCGACAGTGGGGAAAGAGGCAAGGTCAGGAAAGAGCATCGGTAGGATCAGGCGACCCACCGAGGCAGCAGGCGGGGCGGAATAGCGCCGGATAACAGCGTCTAAGAAAGCCTAGGCGGTGGTGATAGACCTAAAGCGAGGACGGTGAGACGGGGGGAGGGCATTGCTAATGGCAAGCTGGGCGACAGCGTCATGGGAAAGCCAGACGAGGGCAGCGGCCGCAGTAGACTCGCGCTCAGCAGGTGTGGGGTCAGCGGGCAGCACAGCAGGGGGGTCTGGGCAGGGAAGCGTACCGTCAAGGTGTGTCGAGAGCGGGTGGCCATCCTGACGCTGACCAGTGAGGTGGCGGCGGAGGTCAGCTAGCCAGGCCTCGAACTCCAGAGGCTGGCTTTCAGCGTCGAAGCGAAGCTCCGCCGCCATCAGGAACAATGCAGGACAAGGCCAGGTGAGGCAGTCCAGTGCGGTCCAATGCAGTGCAGGGTGGTACAGTGCGGTGCAGTGCGGTACAGTGCGGTACAGTGCGATGCAGCGCGGTGCCGTGTGGTGCAGGGGGGTGCAGTGCGGTGCAAGGTAATGGAGAACCGTACCAGGGAGGGTGCAGTGCAGTAGCAGGTACGGAGAGCGGGCCGCACACAGATCGGCGGCAGTCCGACGGGAAGGTGAGCACGGGGCCGGAGATTGACGGGCAGGGCGCGCGCAGGGGTCGGCAGAACGGGCAGGGGGGGCCAGTAGCGGCGGGCGCCGAGCCGGTGAGGACGGGCCTGGGACAAGCGCGAGGCCGGCTAGGACGGGCGCGGGGGCCTGTAGGACGGGCGCGGGGGGCAGCTAGGACGGGCGCGGGGGGCCGGTAGGACGGGCGCGGGGGCCACTAGAACGGGCGCAGGGGTTTGTAGGACGGGCGCGGGGGCCAGCTAGGACGAGCGCGAGGGCCGGCTAGGATGGGCGCAGGAGCCGGTAGGACGGGCGCGGGGGCCGCTAGGACGGGCGCGGGGCCGGCTAGGACGGGCGCGGGGGCCGGTAGGACGGGCGCGGGGGCCGCTAAGAAGGGCGTTGGGCCGGTAAGGACGGGCACGAGGGCCGGTAGGACGGGCGCGGGGCCGACTAGGGCGGGCGCGGGAGCCGTTAGGACGGGTGCGGGGCCAGTTAGGACGGGCGCGGGGCCGGCTAGGACGGGCGCGGGGGTCGTTAGGACGGGCGCGAGGCCAGCTAGGACTGACGCGGGGCCAGCTAGGACGGGCGCGGGGTCGACTAGGACGGGCGCGGGGCCAGCTAGGACGGGCGCGGGGGCCGGGAGGACGGGCGCGGGGGCCAGCTAGGATGGGCGCGGCGGGCGCAGCTAGGACGGGCGCGCGGGCGCGGCTAGGACGGGTGCGGGGTCGACTAGGACGGGCGCGGGGGCGGCTAGGGCCTAGGGCGGAAGCATGGGCGGGCAGCGGGACCTACCTACTGCTGATACCATCTTAGAACTGAGTAATGAATGACTAGAGAACATGGGTACAAGCATACATATCTAAGGGTTGTACTCTCTAAGAGGTGACCCTATACAGTCTATACAAACACTAGATATACTAATGTTTGACATACACAACCATCTTTCCCCTGGAGCGGAAGGCCGACATGCCTGACGTTATTCTCTCACGGCTTGTCTCTGCGCTTGTTCACCGAGGTCTCCCTGTCTTGCGTCTTGACTCCGACTGTGGTGGCGAGTTTGCCTCTGGCTGCCTTGGTCGCTTCTATCGTGCGGAGGGCATCACCCAGACGTTCACCTTGCCTCCCCGCAGCAGAATGGGGTCGCTGAGCGACGCATCGGTGTGGTCATGGAGGTGGCTCATACCTCCATGATCCATGCTAGTGCACCCCATTTTCTGTTGCCGTTCGCCGTTCGCTATGCCGTTCACCAGCTTAACCTCTGGCCGCACCCTCAGCGGTCGCAGGTTTCGCCGACCGTCCTCTGGACTGGGTCCTCTAGTGACGTATCTGCGTTCCACATCTGGGGCTGCCTTGCACATGTTCGTGCCTCTGGCACGGACAAGCTCACTTCCCGCACTGTCCCCTGTGTCTTCCAAGGTTTCCTCCTCGACTCGTCGGAATGGCAGTTCTACCACCCGCCTTCTCACCGGTTCTTTCACTCTCGCAACGTCACTTTTGATGAGTCTGTCTCCTTCTACCACCGCTTTTCCCACCGTGGTCCCCCGGTCACTCCCCCCCAGATCCTGGTGCCCCCCCCTCCCCCGGTCGACCCGGTCCACCCCCCTCCCCGCCCTGCCCCGTCTGGTGTGTCTCACGTCACCCCCCTCCCATCGGTTGTCCCTGCTGAGGAGTCCGCTGACTCTCGTGGCTCGGCGGATTCTCTTCCCCCGCCTGTCCCTTCCCCGGTCTCGCCTCCCTTGTCCCTGCAGCAGCCGCCTCTGCCGCAGCCGCTGTCGTTACCGCCGCTGGGGTTCGTGCGTTCTGGGGGTGCTGGGGAGCGTGCTCGAGCTGGTTCTGGAGCGGGCTCTGGGGGTGCTGGCATGGGGCTTCTCAGAGGGAGCCGTGTTGTCGCTAGAGGTTCGGGTGTCGAGCAGCAATCGCAGCTGTCGCCGCCGGTTTCCGCTCTTCGCCTCCTCGGTCTCCCTTCCCCTGACCGCCCGTTGCTGCCTCCCCCGTTGGCGCCGCCTGCTCCTCTGCCGGTCCACGGTACCGTGTTTCCTCCCCCGAACTCCTCTCCGACTCGTTTTCCTTCCCGTTCTCCTCCTGTGTCTCCTCCCCTCTCTCCTGACCCAACTCCTCCGTTCACGTCTGGTCTCGTCGTCCGTCTCGTGCTCGTCCTACCACCCCTGTTCTACTTTCTTACCCTATGTTGCTGCGCTCTCACGCATCTCGTGCTCCTCCTCTCCTCCCGTCTCCTCCTCCGTCATCGCTTGCTGTGGCCCCGCCTCTGTTCTCGGACTTCCTCCGTGCTACGCGTCCCCTTATTCCTCATGTCCTTGCCTCTCTCGTTACCGACCCGTCCGTTCCTGTCTCGAGTCTGTCAGCTCTTCTTGCTGCTGTCACTGACTTCGCCGCTACCCGCCGCCTGGACTACGCCACCGCTCTGGTCTCTGACCCTGCCTGCCCTCCGACTGTCAAGGGTGTGGCTGCTCTTGGCAGTGACATCCTAGAGGACAGGCAATTCGAGCTCGCTTTCCTGCCTGAGGCCGCTCCCCATCTCTGTTCCATGCTACTAGTCCTTGACGTTGACCCATGCCCTCGACATCCCGACCCCTCGCACCTACGCTGAGGCCACGTCGGGACCCTGGGCCTCTCAGTGGATAGCTGCCATGGAGCAGGAGATGACATCTTGGAGATCCACCGGTACCTTCGTCAACGCAGTTTCCCCATCTGGGGTGAACGTAGTCGATGGCCGTTGGCTCTTCAAGGTGAAGCGCCCTCCTAGAGAGCCGCCTGTGTTCAAGGCACGCTACGTCGCTAGAGGCTTCAGTCAGCGTGAGGGGGTGGACTTCTTTCAGACATTCGCCCCGACCCCGAAGATGACCACTCTTCGAGCGCTGCTACACGTAGTAGCACACCATGACTACGAGATGCCCTCCCTCGACTTCTCCACAGCTTTCCTCCAGGGCAGTCTACACGAGCACGTCTACCTGCGCCACCCCCAGGGCTTCGCCGGTACCTTCCCCCCTGGCACAGAGTGGCTCCTCCGGTGCCCCGTCTACGGCTTGCGACAAGCGCCCCGTGAGTGGCACGACACGCTGCGTGCTACACTTGCTGACTTGCAGTTCTTCCCTTCGTCTGCAGACCCCTCGTTCTTTGTGCATTTCGGCCAGACTCCGTTCTACATCCTTGTCTACGTGAGCTGGTCTTTGCTACTGCACACATGCATTGGCCACCGTGAAGGCCGAGCTGGTGAGGAGACACACCTGCACTGACCTAGGAGAGCTGCGCCGCTACCTTGGCTTGCAGATCTCCAGGGACAGAGCAGCGCACACCATCACTCTCTCACAGTCACACTTGGTGCGCCAGGTCCTTCAGAGGTTCGGCCTCAGTTCTCTTCCGCACAGCCCACCGCTCTGTCAATGGACCATAGACTCTCTGCCCCAGTTCCTGAGGAGGCTGTAGAGCCTAGTGGTCCCTACGTAGAGCTGGTGGGTTGCCTCATGTACCTGATGACTTGCACTCATCCAGATCTCGCAGACCCTCTCAGCATCATGGCTTGCTTTGTGGCCCCACGCAGACACTGACCACAGCACTGGTCGGCAACTAAAAGGGTTTTGCATTATCTACCACGTACATCGGGCATGGGGCTAGTGCTAGGAGGACGGAGACCAGTGGTCCTTACCGGGCACACAGACGCTTCTTGGGCAGACGATGCAGAGACTCTCAAGTCCTCACAGGGCTACTCCTTTAGCCTTGGTGCAGGTGCCATCCCGTGGAGGTCCACCCGTTCCTTGTCTGTTGCCCAGTCTAGCTGTGAGGCTGAGATCTACGCCGGCACCATGGCGGCATGGGAGCTCCGCTGGCTGACCTTCTTGCTCACCGACTTGGGTGAGCAGCCTAGCTCTGCCCCGGTTCTGTACGCTGACAATAGGGTCATGATCCTCCTGTGTCAGGAGCCACGACTTGAGGGCAGAGCGAAGCACATCCAACTGCGGTACTTCCTCCTGCGCGAGCTGCAGCAGCGTCGCCAGGCTCGTGTAGTACACTTGGCCTCAGGTGCCAACACAGCTGATATCTTTACTAAGGCGCTTGCGCCTAAAGATCATTAGCGGCACTATGTACAGCTAGGTCCCGTTCCTGTAGCCTCTCGCTTGCTAGGACCTTGATTGTGTACTACTCTTTTATATATACCCTCTTGACTGGCCTTGTGGCTTTTGTTCCAGTGGCCGGACTAGTAGTGCCGCCCTAGTTTGCTTTTGTCTAGTTTGTGCTCTTGCTGGCTGGTCTTCGGACCCTTGTCTCAGGGGTTGGACTAGTAGTTCCGCCCTGAGTTGCTGGTCTCTTGCCAGGCACTGCCCCTTGTCTAGTCTAGGGGGTGTGTCAAACATATTTGTATATGTTACTATAGCCTAGATAGGGGCATGCCTTAGAGAGTACAGCTCATTATGTCAAAACCACACTGTACCCTTCTTTCTAGATTTTTCCGCTACTCTAAGACCTACCTCTGGATTATCGTGAGAAGATGAAAGCCATCCTGCAAGTCGACGTCAACAAATACTTTACTTTATTGACACGTATCCGGGGAAATGATCACTAAAATATGTCTCACCAACATGCACATCAACATCAAAATGACAACGATTGGTCCACACATGATCTAACAAGGTGTTGCGTATTGTTGTTGGAGCTTGAACACATTACGACAAAGTGAGAGACTTCATAAAGTTGAGCAATCGAAGCAGCATCGATTTGGAAGTGTCAAAATTGAGATCGCCAATTACAGTGGCGGATTAAATTGCCCGGATGTTTAACACTTTGAAACGTATCGTTATGCAACACATGTTTCGAAAATAGTAACACCCGTTTTTTTCCATTCTGTTACTCGGTTTTTGAGTTCTGCTTCATCCGTTTCTTGCTTGGCGCGATTGTGACACTAACGGAAAGTGGGGTTGAAATTTACTACTCGACTGTCGATGTGGACATTTCCTACCGAGCGGAAGAGTAGATCTATTTTCCCCCGTCGCTCAGTGTGTACATCGTCACGCGCACCAGTTCCTAGCTTAGTTGTTAGTCCGGAAGCGAGCCTACGACCGCATCGCTATGAAGCCGTTAAATGAGAAGAAGCGCGCGAGGATCAGAAGCATGTTGCGTGCGGGGCAATCGACTAGGAAAATAGGGAAACTTCTTGGCATAGGCAAGAGCACCGTGCACGATTACGGTATGAAACTCGCTGAGGAGACTAGTCGCGAGGAGGTGCGACCTACGATGCCTTCGGCCGGCCGCCCCCGCTTAATCACAACCCGTCTCCAGCGCGGAGTTATACGTGCGATTACTAGCGGCGAGGCGAAAAGCTCTTCAGACGCGGCCAAGATGTTGTTGGAGAAGCACGATCTCGCCGTAGACTCGAAGACGGTCCGGAACTCTTTACGATCCGCGGGGCTGATCGCCGTGCATCAGCCCAAGAAACCCAGGCTCTCACCGAAAAACATCCGCGATCGTCTCGACTTCGCGCGGGCGCATGCCGACTGGACGCTGGAGGACTGGAAGCGGGTGATTTGGTCTGACGAGACGAAGATTAACCGCTACTGCTCCGACGGACGTGCGTACGCCTGGATTCGCGAGGGCACCAGCCTTCGGAGCCACCAAGTCCAACAGACAGTTAAGCATGGGGGCGGTTCTGTGATGGTGTGGGGTTGCATGACGTATGAGGGGGCGGGGTTCATGTGCAAGATAGATGGCAGGATGGATGGGCCGCTGTATCGCAGCATCTTGCAAGATGAGCTCAAACAGACCATCGATTTTTTCAAGCTTTCCCCCTCAGAGGTCATTTTCCAGCACGACAATGATCCCAAGCACAGGTGTCGTCTGGTCCAAGACTGGCTTGGGGAGCAGGAGTACGCGGTGCTGGAATGGCC